TAGGCTAAGGGGCGGGACATCTCTAAGCGGTCGACCAATCACAATAGAGCATGAAAACGTGTCGCAGTAAGGGCACAAAATGCAACCTGGAACCTGAATGTAGTCAAAAGTAGTGAAAATGACATGAAGCGTACTTTACAATGTTAAAGAGATATCTTCTTAATCACATACTGCTAACTTTGTAACATTAAATATCGACAGCAATAACTCGAACTCTAACCCTTAAAAAGACCCGTGGAAGAAGTAAAAGTTAATTTATAAAACAGTGTGTAGGATGCATGTGTGTGTGTGTGTGTGTGTGTGTGTGTGTGTGTGTGTGTGTGTGTGTGTGTGTGTGTGTGTGTGTGTGTGTGTGTGTGTGTGTGTGTGTATGTGTGTGAGAAACCTGCTGTCTTGAGGATGGTTCTACAACATGAAAAAAGAGTTCTGCTCCGCTGCTCAGGTGGCGTCTCAGTGGATTGAAATGGAGATCAGGTTACTGTTAATGGTTCGGCTCCATCAGTCTATTATTCTATCATCTATTATTTACCAAACAGAAAGGATCATTAAAGACCCTATCCGGTTGCATTATGGGAAATGTAGGATCCAGTGTTGTTTGAGCTTGACCTATAGTAAGGAATAAAGTTCAGTGTGTTTGGGGTTCTTTCATACTGGAGTATGCTTTGAAAGTTGGACTTCTAAATATCACATCTTTTTATTCCTCTCTCTTTTTCAATTATTGATTTTCTTTGTAAACCAATTTGGTTTGATTTTTTTATGTGAAATCAAAGGTCATCAAAGTAGGTAGGTAAAGGGTAAAACAAGAGCAAAGTGAGATTATTTAGGTTCAATAAAGCTGAATAGAAAAACCATAAAAAGAGAACTAAAATATCCCTGTCCCCTTGGTTCAGAGGCCATCTCAGGAGCGAAGGTGAGTGGTCCGATGTCCGTGCTCATCGCCGGGAACAGCTCGGCCAACCTGACCTGCAGGGCGGATTCCGGCCAGGCGCAGAGCGTCCGCTGGAAGCAGGACAGAGCTGCCTTCGGCACCGGGGCCCGCCGGTTCTTCTCCCCTGACATGAGCTCCATGCTCATCAGCCCGCTGCAGAAGGAGGACAACGGAGAGTTCACCTGCATGCTCACCAACCCCATCAACACCGACAGCGCCTCCTATAGGATGGTGGTCAACTGTGAGTCTGAGGAGGTACAGGGGTGTGCAGATTATAGCCCTGGTTTATTTATCATGGAAGGGATCTATTCCTAAAGCATTAGCAATAAACCAGTGGCGGGAAAAGTATTAAGATTCTTTACTTGAATAAAAGTACTAATAAAGTAATAAAGTAATAAAAATACTCAATTCAAGTAAAAGTGCTGCATCAGGAATGGTTCTTAATTAAAAGTATTTTAGTACGATTAGGAAATGCAAGTATTAGGAGTAAAACTACTCATTGCAAAAATATATATTTTAAAGCAAAAGCAGCACATCTTCAAATGTAAGCTGGAACTGTGGAATATCTTTGAACATAAACCTCTCAGCAAATGTAGCAGAGTAGAAGTATAAATAAGTCTATAATGAAATACTTGAGTAAAGAACAAGTACCTTAAATGTACATTATTTGGGTTAATGTACTTAGTTACTTTATGTGATGTCCGTTAGACGGCTCACTGGAGCGTCTGGACTTGGAACTTGGAAATATGATGTCGCCCTGTGTCCTGGAGATGCTCTGAATGGGAGTCAGTATGAACACAGGAAGTAACACATGTACAATAAGAAAAGTTAGAACTAAATTTAAAAAAACATGTGTACGGGTGAAAATTGTTAATTCGAGGAATGGCTGTGAAGCATGCAGCTGATACACCCTGTTTGTATGTGTTCTCCTGCAGACGGCCCTGAGGCGGCCCGGGTGATCGGGGAGTCTGCTGTGGAGGTGGAAACCAAGGTGGTGCTCACCTGCTCCGCCGACTCCGTGCCCCCCGCCAACTTCACCTGGAAGTTCAACGGCACCAAGACCGACGTCAAAACGGCCCAGTATCAGATCGAGGCGGCTCGCTACAAAAACAGTGGAATGTACATGTGTGAGGCGCACAACACCGTCACTGGCAAGACCAGCACCCACACACACACCCTGTCCGTCAAAGGTGAATATCAGCTGCACATAAGGATTGACAAAATGTATTACCAATGCAACTTCCTTTATGGTAACTTCTGCAAGAATAGGTTAGATTTTCACTATCCCAGAATGATTAAAACATATATAACTTCTCATCAGATCTACTGACTCAAAGGTAGTTCACAGAGTGCGGCCGGTATATTCTGATGAGCCTGCATGTGACATATGTGTTGATCAAGTGGGTTGTTTGGCAGACACGCCACATAGCAATATTTGTGATCAAGCACTGAATGGGACCTACCTGGTTAAATAAAGGTTTGAAATTAAATGAAATGAATGTAGCATATTATTTTCGATGGCTTTATTGTATGATCAGTATGACAGATGAACAGATCGCCACCTGGGCTTTCAACTAAAGAACACAGCCACGCCAGAACTGCCGGCATGTGTACCAGCAATTTGTGAAGTGGCGGAGCGACGTTCGGTGCTCTCCGTCAAACTCTGCACCCCTGTCAGACAAGACATATACCACGTGATGACACTAGGCTCGTGCTGTGTTCAAGGACCCTGACCTTGGCCAGGAAAAACAGGCCCTCGCTTGTCTAATTCTTTTTTTTTTTTGCTTGTGTTTATAAATTACCTCGAGGGCCGTATCAAATGGTCTCGCGGACCGTATAAGGCCCGGAGGCCAGAGGTTTCCCCACCCCTGCTTTAGTTCATGACAGGAAACCTGTTAAACCAACAATGACGTTCATTCCAGTGTTTTGCAATTGGTAAACGTTACTAATTATCTAGACTGTAGAGGCCTGCCCTACCCTCATTTGCCCAGCAACAGTTTCATAGAAATCCTAAAATATTTGTGCACTTCCCAACTTCTGTAACATACAAACTGCTAACAAGCTAATTTTAGAGTGAATTTACTCCAGCGGATCGCTTTGGGCAGGGGTTCATAATCTGGTTGTGGTTTCAGAGGAAGGAGCGCTGGATGAAGGTCTCTCAGACGGAGCCATCGCTGGGATCGTGATCGCAGTCCTGATCGCTCTCGGTGCCGCCATCGCACTACTCTTTTTCTGCAGACAGAAAGTGCCGTGAGTACTTTAAATCTTCATCTGGACTGTGTGATGACCCTGAACTGGGTGTGTGTGGGGGGGAGGGGCTCTGTGTGCAGCTGCTCCTCCTCCTCACGGGGGTTTCAGGTTCTTTGTTGAAATTGCGTTTTTTTTCTTTGTTTGACTTTGCCAATATGATGTAAGATATCGCTCTGTAGGGTTACTAACCTGTAACAATCCCTGGTTTTCACATGACAGTTGACACAGTTTATGTGTAAGCATACACACATGCAAAAACAAGCACACACTCAAGCTGTCACAACACTAACGCAACAATAACAGTCACAGCCATCATTTACATTCTCCTTCAGAAGAGCCTTTGTTGGTTTGAAATGTCTCTCAGCAGAATCCCGTTCACTGAAAAAAACAGAAACAACTATTGTTTATATATGTTTAGATTTTTAGGTAACCAAAAGTATCACTTCTGTTCTTTTAAAATAAAACCGCTTTAAGATGTATATTAACACAGGAGAGGGAGTGTGTGCAGTTTGTGCCAGCGGGAAATCAACTCCCTAAGAAATAGTTTTTGGGAAATACACACCCCCGGTGACATCATTTCAACTAATGCACACCCGTCGGCTTGCTTCAAGGATGGTGTAGAATGTAGACTCATACTTGATGGCAGTGTGCTTCAGACAAAGTGTCTGTGGTCTAACATCGTCTGAACTCTGTCCATGTTAGATTAGATTATGACTGTGGAAACGACATCATCATCTAACTGAATTTTTGATTCTGTCAAAAGCAGTAGTTCTTGATAACCTGCAGATTGGTTTGCCATGTAGACTTTAGAGATCACAGTCAGGCGGCAGACCTGATCTGAGACTTGACAGCAAAGATCTCAATGCTAAGTTTTCGGGTGGGAAGATGCAATACAACAATACAACTATGACAGGAAGACCCTGTATCGCTCACAGTATGAACATCTCACTGGGTTGGCTTGGGCATTGCTAGCGGGCTGTCAACTGGGGGGGAGCCTCGCTGCGGGGAAACGGCGGACCTCTGTCAGTTCGGCCGTCAGCGAATCGAGCCGGCCCTTGACGACCGGCTGTTCTGTGATTCTCCAGATTCTACAGATGGCCAGGCCGCGGAGGGTGGAAAATACATACCGTGCAACAGGACGGTGTTCCCACAGGAAACAAAACGTAAAATATTAAATGAAACAATCTCATCTCTTAAAAATCACAACTTATTATGAATTAAACATTCACAAACCTATAATTATGTATTCACATGTTTAACTCTGTTACATATGCACGCAACAAACAGAAGAGCATAGGGCAGAATTAGGAGGGAATTCCGTCTCGTAGCGTTTGTGCACAGTTTTGAAATGCTGCTCTATGGCCCAATCCCAAATCACCCCCTCGACCCTACCCCTCTGTGACGGAGTGAACTCCGTCTGTAGCCAGACTCGCAGCTCAACGAGGCTCCCTCTCTTATTATACATCCATGGGCTCCCTCCTGTCAGATGGAGGGAGTAAATACAGCGGCAAGCTTTGGGACGGCCTCCCCTCTCTCCGGCAGAAACAGGAAATGCCGTAACTGTATGTAACAACGGTTTCAAATCAGCTTCTCTTTGACAAAAAGTTTAAATTAATAACTCAAATAAAACTCCAAACATCTTTCATTGTGTTTCAAAGCTCTTTTAGTTTTAAACCTGATGTTTATAAGCTTCTTAGTTTTTGCAACGGTCTGACACACACACACACACACACACACACACACACACACACACACACACACACACAGGTACACCTCGGAGGGGCACACCCTGTTCTCCCTGATAGAGCACGCTTAATCAGAGAAATGGAAACACAAGTCAGGCAGGACCTCAAATATACCCTGTAGACATCTCCAGAAACGATCATGTCTCTGTGTGGTAACTTACCCACACACACACACACACACACACACACACACACACACACACACACACACACACACACACACACACACACACACACACACACACACACACACACACACACAGTCTGTCAGAAGTGAATGAAAAATGACCTCACTACATAGCAATGTCCTTGTGCTGCAGGTCTAAAACTAAAACAGGTTATTTTCAAGTTACACATGCAGTTTTCCAACTGCCCAACCCCCCCCACACACACACACACACACACACACACACACACACACACACACACACACACACAC